TTTTAAAAGAAAAGCATTAATAAAACCATTAAAAGTGACAGGAAATTGTTTTGGATTTTGAAGTCAAACAGCTCTGAACCAGTTCACTTTAAACAGATCAGCCATAACATTATGACCACAAGAAAAACCCATAGATGAACCTTTTGCCTTCGGCATCTGGAGATAATATGATGAATGTTTGCTTTAAACAGATGTTTTAAAAGCTAAGAGTGGATTGGCTACTCAGGGCTACCACAGCAAAGTTTCTGATGTTTATTTTATGAGCAGCTCAAACAGAAACACAAACATTTTTTAATGTTGTGTTGCTACAAGTAAAACCAAAGATACAGAAATGTGTAATTAAATAAATCATAATCGTTTTCATCTTTCCACAGCGCGCTATGAAGACCTGGTCCAAAGTGATCCCAGGGTCCAGTACCTGTGGGAGGCGTTGACAAACTTCACTAATGGTAAGTTGTAATTAAATCTGATTTTCCTGCTTTATTTAACCTTAAACTGGATTTTCTGTTGTCAGAGGATCGCAGCAGGTTTCTGAGGTTCGTAACGGGGAGAAGTCGTCTCCCCGCGCCGATCTACGTCTACCCAGACAAACAAGGGTGAGCATCCCTGCAAACTGTTACTTTTATTTGTGTTTAATAGGAGATAATTCATCTTAGAAACGGCGTTCTTTGTTTTTTTTAATTCAGGTCTGAAACAACCGATGCTCTCCCTCAGTCGTCCACGTGTTCCAGCATCCTCTATCTACCCAACTATCCAAGGTGTGTTTACTGTTCTGTGTGCACGCAGTCGTTTTAATTACCCTTTCCTAAGTTTACTTTTCCTCTTTCCTGCAGCGCTAAGGTTTGTGAGGAGAAGCTGCGTTACGCCGCGTACAACTGTGTGGCCATCGACACCGACATGAGCCCCTGGGAGGAGTGATCCCTCTGCTGCCTCGCCACAAAAATCACAGCCTGAAAGAAAAATCCACGACTTTATCTCCACGTCCTCACCTGTTAACAGTAGCTGTATATAATAAAGAGCTATGTAGAAACTCCTGTGACTGATTGAGATTTAATTAATTAATTTAAGGAAAGAAGTGGTGTTGTTCAACAAGTTTTTAAAGGTCTAAATTTTAATTTCATTTCCCATCCACTTTAAATAATCCTATATTTTTGTTTAAGTCATAAACAAAACCATTTTGGTTAAAATGTATTAAAATGTTAAATGTCTCCCTAACTCAAGTTATAAATCAATGATATGTCACTTTTGTAGAAATAAACACTATTAGCAGTTAATTGCATCTATATATACGGTACACTCCTGATCAAAATCTTAAGAGCAGTCAAAAAAGTGCAAGAATTTGCATTTTGCACT